GAGAGAGAGAGAGAGAGAGAGAGAGAGAGAGAGCAGGTAAGTCTCCAACCTCGCGGCTGGCCTCATCGTACTTCCATTGATAGGATGAGCAAAATCGAATGAATCTAGTGCCACAACATGGAAATATACACTGCCACACTCGTTTGCTTTTGTTTGTGTGTTTGTGTGTGTGTGTGTGTGTGTGTGTGTGAGAGAGAGAGAGAGAGAGAGAGAGAGAGTGAGAGTGTGTGTGTGTGTGTGAGAGACAGAGACAGAGACAGAGAAAGATAGATATATATATATATATATATATATTCTATTTGACGATATATATATATATATATATATATAGAGAGAGAGAGAGAGAGAGAGAGAGAGAGAGTGTTTCCATCAATAGGATGAGCAACACACCAGCCAACAGGTAAGTCACCAACCCCACGGCTGGTCTCCTGCTACTTCCATCGATAGGATGAGCAAAATCGAATGAATCTTTCGCTAGAACATGGAAGTATACATGACTACACGTGTGTGTGTGTGTCCAATATATCCCATGGCGTACTTGCCATGCACTCCATGGAACTCATGGTACACTCGGCCCACCCGTAACCAAACTAATGCTGTATGCTGCCATTCTACTACGACTCGTGAAGCTACCTTGTACGTACGTGGTTATCCATGACCAGCTTTCCAACGTGCCAGACATCTAGGGCATTGGGGAGGCGGGAGGGCAGACTGCAGGCAAGCACACCAAGCAAGCAAACCAAAGAAACGAGTCCCAAAAGGATGCCAAGATCAGGCAGACAAGAAAAAGCATCAGGGCCTGCCAAAACAAAGCAAGCAAAAAGACATCAAGGCATAGGCTGGAGGGCACGGGGGAGGTGGGAGGGCAGACAACATGCAAGCACACGAAACAGGCACTCTGAGACAGGCAAACCGGAAAAATTACAAGTCCCAAGCAAATCGAGAGACTGAAAAAAATGAAAACTGATGATGATAGATTGTTTTGTCGGAGTTGCACCGACTCATCAGGAGGCTGAACCGTCTGCAGAATCCCCGTATTGATGGTTTGGGTCACGAACCCTTTGACCCATGTTGAAGGCAGACTGTCCCTGAGCGCGACATAGCAGCAGGCAGCAGCAACTCAGCAAAGCACCAGGCAATGCTGCCGGAGCAACCCAACTGCTTATCACCAAAGACGACTGCAAGGAACGATAGGGCAAGCAGACGAGCAGCTCAGCAACCATGCAGTGAAGTACAAGGCAACATCAACAAGGTGACCAAGCTAGCAAGCACGCAAGCAAAGGACATGGAAGGCCGAAGGCAGACTGTCCCCAAGCGGGACATAGCAGCGGGCAGCAACTCAGCAAAGCACCAGGCAATGCTGCTGGAGGAACCCAACTGCTTATCACCAAAGACAACTGCAAAGAACGATAGGGCCAGCAGACGAGCAGCTCGCCAACCATGCAGTGAAGCGTAAGGCAACATCAACAGGGTGCCCAGGCTACAAGGCATGCAAGCAAAGGACACGGAAGGCTAACAGGGCAAGTGGACGAGCAGCTCGGCAACCGTGCAACAAAGCGCAAGGCAACACCACCAAGTTAACCAAACCACAAGACACGCAAGCGAAAGACACAGAAGACACTGCCCGCAGATGGGCAGCAAGGCAGCAGAGCAGCAAGGAAGACCTGTGAAGCAAGCAGGATGGGCAGCAAGGCAGCGGCAGAGCGTAGACAAGACAGTCTACCCATCCAACACGGAGCAAAGCAGCGCATTACCTACTCACATCACGACTTAACCCCACAGACTGTTGGTTCCCACCACCCATTTAGCCAGGGAATCACTCAGACAAACATCTGTCATCACCTGCAAAAACCACAGACGTCCCAAACTGCACGCCCCCCCTAAGAGTGCAGTAGGCACTCCCAACGAGGAATGACCGACTGTTTGGCACTGGTAGAGGGTGCTCGGCTGGAGACAAACCCCCCCTAAGAGTGCAGTAGGCACTCGCAACGAGGAATGACCGACTGTTTGGCACTGGTAGAGGGTGCTCGGCTGGAGACAAAAAATACTTAGAAAAAATAGGAGAAAGAGGAAAAACAAACATACCTAAACTGATTTTGTGTGTGTGTGTGTGTGTGTGTGTGTGTGTGTGTGTGTGTGTGTGTGAGAGAGAGAGAGAGAGAGAGATTTCCAGCCATGCACGCAGAGAGATAGAGGGAGGCTACTTCCATCAATAGGATGAGCAAAATCTTCCACTAGAATATGGAAATATACACTGCTTTCCAACCATGCAGCAAAGAGATGGAGAGAGGCTACTGAGAGAGACACAGAGAGAGGGAGAGAGAACAGGTAAGTCTCCGCCCTCACGGCTGGCCTCACGCTACTTCCATCGATAGGATGAGCAAAATTGAATGAATCTTCCGCTAGAACATGGAAATATACACTGTCACACTTGTAGATTCAGTCCACAAACCTGCGGCCAAAAAAGACCCCTTCATAAAACCGCGTCGACGGCAGCCTTCCACCCGAGTGTTCAGCACGATTGTTGCACAATCGCGCCGCCCGAACTCCATTCACACAGGCCCGAACCACCCTCGGCCCGAACAGTTGCCGCCAGACTTAAAAAGAAAATTGCGGAAAAACAATATTTGAACACTCACCCCCAGACTCGAAACGTTGGCAGGGCGTGAAAAAAAGAACCACGGAAAAATTATGTTCGAATACTCGCTGCCAAACTGGAAACAAAAGTCGGGCGCCGGGGCCTACTCGGCCGCTCCACACACGGGCCGTGGGCCCATTTCGTACTTTCCCAACACTATGAACGGGGCCTCGCCTGCGACGCTCATGCGAAACCCTCTATTTCCTTTAGAGTATTATTAGAGAAAATAAACTGAGGAACTTTTGCCTCAGGGTCTTACCAAATTTAAGATATAAATCATATATATATTGCCGGCGTTCGGGACGGGCCGAACGCCCGAACGTACGGGACCCCTTCGGAAGGCGTTCGGCCGTTCGGGCCAAGCG